CAGTTTCACAGACATGGATAAGTATTATTTAAATTACACAAATTTGGTTTATGGTGAAACTACGTGGTTGCTCTATTTTTTGTCTATAGTCGTTGGGAAAAATCTGCTAACTAGTCACCAAGTGGAGCACATCAAGAAATGTAGAATTATTGTCTTCGCATTAACAAGAAAACCGATTATGTTTTGGATGGATTACGAATACTTGGGAAAAAATAAAGCTTGAAGTCATTCTCCTCATATAACTTTGGTGTGTACAGCATCGAATCTTATTCTTGATTTATATCCAAATTGGGTATTAATTTAAAATAAGTGGTAAAATATCACCACATTCTTTCCAGAAAGGAGACTAATTGGTAAAGTAGAAATATTGTCCGAGAAACTCATGTCTTTCCATGTGATATTGTGGTGAGTTTCGACCTTGTTTTCTAATATCTCATTCGTACGTCAGTTTTGTTTCACTTATCGTACCAGATAGATATTATACGAACGACTTATTTGTGTGAGGACTTTTGTCATGACTGCTGCTTTTCTTAATCTGAAATGATAAGTAGAGGCAAAGCAAACAGCAGGCGTAGCCTCTAAGCTCATTCGATAAATGGGCCCAAGATTTCTGAAGCTCTTCCATGAGAATTGGCACTAGTACTGCTTGCGAACTCTGCTAGTGTATCATTAAGTACCTTTTCAAAGGAGGCCAATGCGTTTTCTAGCCGCATTTCTGTTGGCAGTTTGTTCCACATCTAGGCATATCTAATCGGGTAAAGCGTCGGTGGCACAGTGGTTAGGACACCCACCGACCATGAGCATGGTCTGGGGTTCGATCCCCGGCCGACGTACTCCTTTACCTCGCCAAGCCAATAGTAAGACTGGTAAAGAGGGAAGGTTGTGCATGAGGCCAGCAACCCCATCTAGTAAAAACAAACACCACTGCTACCGAAATTTCAAGCCTCTAGCTTGGAGGCCTATGTTCCACTGGAAACGTAAAGGAGTAAGAAAATTGGGTGAACATTTTTCCTGGTGGCTTTTTTACACTTTTCCGTGGCCCCTATATCTTTAGTATCTTATGTTATATTGATTGTCGTCTGAAAATCGAGTACCATTAGTAGGGATACTCATTATGTGGTTTAGAAGCTTGTAGGAAAGTACCAAGTTTAGCCGCAGTCGTCTTAGCCATAGTGTTTCGAGGACTAAAATCCTACGCCTGGTGGAGTAGTTGTGCTGTTTTTTGGGGTTCGGAGGACTTTTTGCGTGAAGTACCTCTGTACTCCTACCTTTAGTTTGTCTTCTATGTGTATACTACTAAATATTAGTGAGCAGCAATCTAGGTATGGGCACACGCAAACCTTGTGCTGTAGTATTCCTTTAGAAGTTCCTGAGTTGGAAGCCAGTAAGCCTGCGTGATTTTGACACCTGTTTTGAGACATGATCTGAAAATGATAGATTATGTGAATATTTCAGTCCTGGATCTGGTACAGATTTGAGTCTGGGGATTTTGTGGCCATGGATTACCGGGTCAAGTTCTAGGTTGGAACAGTCTATGCCAAGCCAGACACACTTTTCGACATTAAACTCCAGTCTCCAGGTATCACACCATCCATCCATTTTCATCATGTCGTCATGCACGGAGTTCACAGTTGTACCGAGATCTGTGTTTGTGCATGTATTGGGCACCCTAAAGTCGTATGCATATAGTATTGATTTACCTGTGCTAAAGCATTCCCATATACTGTTTATATATATTACGAAGATGAGAGGGCTTAATACACTCCCATGGATGACACCACTGCTAATTGGTCTGGGCTTAGAGGTTATCGAAGCAACTTCTGTTGTTTGATTTCTATCACAGAGAAATGATTTTATCAAGTTCTGAAAAGGGTTACATATTACTAATGAGCATAACCTGCTGATTAGCACATTATGAGGAACTCTGTCAGACTTTCCTTATATCAAAATAACGGACAATTACCACTCCTCTCCTATCTCTTCTATAGGTGACTTCGTTGAAAACGTTTGTATGGCAAGGCGCGCATAATCCTTTCTTCAGGAATCCATGTTGTGACTGGTTGATGAGTTTATGTTTTAGAATGTAACCCGACATTTGTTCCTCGGCTATTTTCTCTGATCCTTGATGTGACGGGTGTTATACTGATAGGCCTATAATTGTATGTACTAGTTTTGGCTCCTGCTTCATGCTTTGGTTATATTGATGTATATTTATTTTTCTAAATTTTAGGTTGGGTCCTAGTCACTATTGAGAGGGCAAATATTTTCAGTAATAATTCTATTATATCCGTGCTACCATTTTCGTGCATGATGAATAGTATATCGTCAATCACACAGCTACCGTTAACTTTTAATATCGTTACCACTGACCTATATCTTGTACGTTAAATTTGATGTCACCTAACTCGTAGTTATTTTCGCAAGTTATGTCGAGAATTGGGGATGGATGCGCTTTGGTGTCATTGGAGAAACACTGGCTCTGGAGTTGACTGATAATCTGGGCATCATCATGAATCACACCTTCATGTTTTAAGTCTCTAACATTGTTGTCTCTAACCTTTTTACAGGTTTTTGCAACATCTGGCAGAGTTCCTGAGTTTTAAAGGCTTCATTTTCCTCGACTTTTTCCGTCATTTTATGTCTGTCCTCAGGATTCTTGAGTGTTTAATGTATTTGGTGTAATGCACTAAATTCTTTTTCAGTTTCCTTAGTTTTAATCACGTTTTGCTGTCTATAAGTAGAGTTGGTGTCTTTAGAGCAGATTTTAGGGGCAGGATTGTGTCTCTTACCGAACCGATTGAATTGTAGAAGATATTAAGTGTTACTTCTAAGTTATTATTGGTAAAGTATGAATCACAGTCAGAGCTTCTCTATAGCGCTGGTCGGAATTCTCAGTTGACATATCTACAGTCCCTATATTGATAGTGAACTGGGGAAATTTTAGGTTGGTAAGTTTTCCTCTTACTAACCCTAACTCCTGATTGCCTGTGTTATGTTCGGAGAGGTCCTGAAATGAGATTGTGTCATCGCGTCTACCATAAATTGTGCAGCTAGAGGGTCTATTGCTTGCAGAAGCCGAAAATAATCCCTTTGCATATATAGGTTTTTAGCACCATTACGTGGGTATCTGGGATCATTTCTCGGTATCGGATTGTCTGTTTCGCTGTTCAAGTTGTAATTTCCAGGGCTTAAGTAACCTGTTTTTAGGTCGCCTTGAGGGTAGTGCGTGCTGGGTCTTTCGTAGTCGTAAATTTGTTGGCTCGTTTTATGCGCGCACGCAGGAGAACCTTGGGCCAATCTGTACCTACTGTGCTGATGGGGGTCTCCATAATTACGAGGGTTCGGAAATAAATTCCAGTTGATACGGCACTTAGTGGTGTCCCGTCTAGTCACCCATGTGTTCTTATTATTGATTTTGGGTCTCCTTCTCAAGTTATATGTGCCTATGGACGCGTTACAATCTTGGCTGCTATGACAATCGTGGGTCTCATTCCGCTGTTTAGTCAGTTTGAAGCCCCATGGGTGTCTGCTAGCACGTGGTTTTGTTTGGATAAAGCTATATTTGCTGTTAGCTCTCACCTCAAATAGTCTGTCTCCCACACTATGTTTACTACTCTTAGTTCGGAGAAGAGCACTTTTACTCACGTGTTCCGTCTTCTTCATGGAATCTGCGTAATGCGTACATTGTCCTTATCTATGTGTACATGCCGTCTGTCGGGCTAGTTGCAAGGGAGGTATACGGACGCCTGTGGAGAGATTTTGCGCTTTGCGGACTTCTTTCCAGTTTTGACTTTGAGACTATCTTGCTAGGCCCTGGTTGATGTTGACAGGTTATGGATAGTGGAAACACCCATGTCTGCTTCATGTGTGGGGTCAGCAGATTTCCCAGGAGTGCTCTCATGAACTTTGAGATTCATCCCAGTGTTACTGCTCCTTTTAGGTTTCACTTCACTTTTACGTGTCATTTGTTTACCTATTACTATGCAAGTGTCGCTTTTAGCATTAGTGTCCTTCGATATTTTGGCACTGACATTGTTCATCTTTTGTGGCGTGATCGTGTTTGTATTTGAGGTGTTCTCAGCTACTTGTTGACTGGGGATTCATTTCGAGGCTATTTCAAAGTTCCTGAATTTTGTAGAAGAGGCCAAAATATCTCCAGATTTTCTAAATTCTTCAGCAATTATATAGCTGTCAAATCTGAATGGTATGGGACACCTGCGGTTTGGGTCTTTTTGTTTAGCCGAATACACTGACAGGTTGTACTTAAGAGGCTTGCAGCCCTTAACAAGGAGTGTTGAACCAACACCATAGGCTCATTGCCTGGTATATTGTACACTATAGCGTTCTGTTTAGAAGCGAGTCTTTTAACAACTTCGCTCGACAAAATATCCAAAGCTTTCTCTAATTCTTTAGTACTTTCCGATTCAGTATAAGTTAGTTCAGTCCTCAAATTAAAGAGTTTTAGAAAAGTGAGGTCCCCAGTTCTTTTTTAAGATGCGAGATAGTTTCTGGTACCATGTCAAGTAGACTTAGTTTCGTCCTGGGTTTATTCATCTGTAGCTGCACGTCGTTTATGATGCAGATTAAGTTAGAAATCTCGTTCTTTTTGACAGGATAACTTCCACCTCTATTGCAGGGGTTAGCAGGAGTGGATCCGGTATAGGAAATCATTTCAGGTTTCGGTGAGTCTCTTCCTCCTTAATCAGTAACTAATAACTTAAGTAACCAATTCTATCACCAAAATCACCCTAAATCCACTGACTGAGAGCTCACATAAGAAAATTGTCGCTGAACGTGTATTCATTATGCTCACTAGTGGGAAAGTGAGAGGGAAGCAAAGTCAGCACATAGAAAGGTATTCACTTTTCAGTTAGCCTCGATAGAGGAGAGAACTTTACATATCATAGAATAAAATTATAGTACCTACTTAGTTAATCATATCGTACTTCTGTTTTCCTTAACAGCTAAACATCTGCTAAGTGACTGTTTTATAGCAGATCATGTGTGTTATGGATGCAGCATGGCATCCATCACAACTTTTCGGCGAAAATATTCCTAGTGAGTAGATCACAAATTCGGTTTTCACAGCAACTTATAATTTGCAAGTCTCGCAGCTTAAAAGTATAATGGAAAATTAAATAACTAGAACTAACGCTGAAGAGCTATAAAGCCTTCTGAGGCCACTGTTTTTGGGGCCTACCTAAGCTATCGAAACTTAGAAGCCAACCCTGAGAATTCAAATTTGTACGTGTTGGCTAGTGAAAGCTATATTGGACGCGTGAGGGCTAAGCAAACAATTGCGCTACTACACACTCACCTTACTGCGACTGGCTGTGTTGTGCTATTCTGCCAACATTCGACGTTACAAATTGCAATATTTTGTTTCTTTTCCACCTAAATGTAAGTTAAATTAGTTCATTTAGAAACTTATTGGTCAAATGCTCATTTAACTGAAGACCAGAACTTGAGACATGGGACTTTTCCATCTTGCCAACTGCCTGGCTTTGGCTACTGGACCACATTTATTAGTGTATAAATCAACTGGAATGTAAGTTGCAAAGTGGTACTTGTAATATGACATAGGCGGGAAAACGATGCTTTCTGGCGCTGTTGCAAAATTGCCTGTCTTTACGCACTTACACAAATGCTGAAGTTTTTCCTAGTCACTTTAACTCCCTATCACTACCTGTCTACAGTTGTTGACTCCACAACTTTTGTATGTACCTGTTAATAATAATGAACGTACTAGGATCTTTTCGGTTCATTACTGGAAATATTTGTTATCAGCCTGATCGTACGGGGAACATTTTGTAGAAATGAATTCAATGTCATTGCATCCAGTTTAGGTTGGTCTGTCTCCTCACTAGTGGCAACGAAGTAAGTTATGAAATGTGACTTTACTGTTTCAGATATATTCCAATCTGGGTTGGAACTCGCGGGCTAGAGTTTGATTGGAGTTATTTATGTCTTAGTTATGAAGCAAACTTAGATCTGGTAGGTTATTTTACCTAGCTTATAATTATAAGGTTGATACATTTGTCGTATTTTACACTATCTGGTTACTATCGCGTCGTTCAGGACCGATTTGGAGCACGTACTTGGGATTATTAGTCATTGTTTCGACTCCAATGAAGAGCATATTGTTAACGTAAGTTAATCCAGATAACATTGCAGTCAGTGTGCATTTTTGAATTGGTCGGGATCTTAATGAGTCCCCTGATTTGTATTTCAGCAACTAGATGCCTTAAAAAGTAAGGATTTTTTATCTCCAGCAACATAATTAGCAGGCCAGGTACTAATATGATAACCCAATTTCCCTCTATGAACTTGCATCAAATAACTCGCTACCGCCTATATTGTAAATAAATCCGACCTGCTAAATGTATCATGGTAGAATCATTGGTTCACTAAATTGATTTTACTTCTGCTTCAGGGTCTTTCATTGATTGCTCTCCGGTTGATCGACTCCATAACGTTGGGAAAATCGATACTGGGATCTCCATTCAGTTCTAGTTAGGCACACAATCATTTCCCAACAAACTTACAGAAACCTTAATTCTTTTGGCTCTTTAAGTAAGCGTGACACGACAATCAGAGTGGTGACGAGTGCCAATGCCCAGTGTGCAGTCTCACCAATAGGTTTTTAAAATGGTGTAAACCATTGCATTATTTCGTCTGGTTCAGCTCTGTTCTCCCTTACATACTTCAGCAATATTTGTGGTTGAAAAATTCCGACATCACCTACAAAGAACAAATGCGCTTTTGTATTTTGCTGTTTATAATAATTTATTCTCACTTAACGTATAGGTAGCAAATCGATTTGAGACGCATGAAAGACTCGTAAAATTTATAGACGCGCCCACAAAGTTTATTTTTAACCTTCCACCTAATACTTTCCTGTTATAAGGTCTGTTAAACATGGCTATCCTGCTTGGTATTGTTGCGCCAATAAACGGTTTATCCAGTTATTTTCTACTTTGCTTTTAAAACAATACTAATAAGGCTGGTTCATAGTTATGTCCACCAAATATAAGATTAGTCGCAGCCATCGGTCTAGGCACTCATCGTTTAGTACTTAGTTACGGGCTCGAACCATATCCATCTGCTTATGATGAGTATATTTATTTGTCATTTCGACCTACAGGAATTTTGCGTGCAGACGTTTATTGTGTTCTGGCAAGTATAAACAAGTTTTGTCACGTAGTAATAAATTTTTCTTAAATATCATTCATGAGGTGGTAGTGATTTATTCCAGTAACTTTAATAGAAAAAAAGATAAAACAATATAGATTCTACTTAAAATGACATATTTCCTTCTAAATGTGGTTCTTAAGCATGCTAAAACCCTGAAAAATTTTCTGACCCAGTAAGAGAAAGGTATGTAGTGTTAATTCCTGCAGAGATTTTTCTTATACACACCTAACAGGAATTGAAGAAGTGCTTTGCTGTACTAGTTTTAGAAAAAAATTCAATTTCATGTGGTAAAGCTTTCTAAGGAGACGTGTTTGCCTGTTTACAACTTTGCAGGTTGTTTTCTTCGGAGACGGAGAATACTGTGGTGAATCTCGCACTTAAGACTGCTGTCTGTCTTGTTCTTGGAATCGCAACGATAATATTACGATCACAAAGAAATTCTGATCGGGTTGAATCACGTGAATCACGAGGATTATCTACCTTGATGGGTATGCTGTACCAATTGACGGCTAGGCGGTATCCTTGTTCGTACAAAAGTCGAGATACAAAACCCAATCCATCAATATTTATTAAAAGTGTTAAATAAAAAATAACATTTATTTACACAAAAAGTCTTTCCATTGTGCAACCTGAAATATAAAAAAATGTTTATTTTAGTGTTATTTATATGCGTATATATATATGTATTTCATCTAAAATATTTGGTTTTTGTATTGCATAATTCCGTTACGTAACTCAGAAAAAGTTAACCACTATTGAGTAAAGTGTGGAGATGTCTTACCTACATTAATATACTCTTAACACTTCGACACATGCTTGGACTGATAGATAAGTGACATAACCTAATGTGGTGGGCTTAATTAAACTGCACTGGACATGGATTCAAAAGTCCACTGATGGAAGAAACCTGCGTTTTATGTGCATTTAGAATTTACACTCAGCATGATTATGTAGTGCTTAGGTTAAGCAAGTCATTCTGCAGTTCATGATATGTCAGATTTAGTAACGAAAAATGAGTCAAGCCTTGATTTCATCCAGTAATCAGACTCAATTTATGAGCACTGGCCGCCTATTTGTATGATATTTTGTTTTTTACAGGCATAATCCTAAAATACTGATAAACAAGCAGAAACTATCCGGCTATGAAATTATTCGTCCTGATATAAAGAAAGTCCATTCAGAGTTTTATCGTTGAAAGGCAACTAATCTTGAAGGTTTTAATTCTACGCGTCGTTTTGTTACAGGGAATCTCACCTACCTACATTAAGTTGTGACTGCATAATTCTATAATTAAATAGAGATGTCAAGTAGTGAATCCAGTGTTAGATTTTTTTGGTACTTGCAGTTATGTGATCATTTAGCAAATTTTTTTTCTGCGAAGTGAACTCAATGACATACACATATTTCCCCACTACCAGTTTGTTGACATTCCTAATAACGCAGAGATGCTTATTACTATCTATTGTCCATTAAGCTTATGTTCCTTATTAAAAAAGACAAAATTTTTCAGAGATTAACGAAGGAATTATGCCCATGCGTAGCTGTTGTTGTAAACACAAACCAATAATTAATAATAGCGCATTTGAAATGTCTTACAGGAATCGATAGGTAGTGAGATATTTCTTCCTTCCTTCGGTGATTGCTAGGGATTTGAGATAGGAGGTCCTTTAAGGCGTTCACATTTCGTCTTTCTAAGCAAAGCTGAAAAAAAGACAATACTTTGATAAACTCAAAAAGGCAGCCATGTAGCCTACGCTTAATACTTGTTTATCACACCATTAACTCCTCAATTGGATTGATGATAGCAAATCATCACTTGTCAATAGGTATCTTCAACAAAGTAGTCATGTATTTCTTTCATCTTAGAAATATACTTTGTCAGCGGTACGTTATTAAGATAGAATCCGAAAATTTACAGGTATCTTCTATCTAATAGCCATCACGGAACAAACTCTGCTAAATCTCATTACTGAAAGAATTGCTTCTAGCTTTTAAATTACTAGATCTTAGCTATGTATTTTATATTTACCCAATTTCAGTAGACTATATGTGATCTATGCTACCTACCGATATATGGCCAATGTTTCACTTAATCTGGTGTTCATGTAGTTACAGACACTTTGTGTAAACACGCATTCCAATCGATGGGCTATGAGTCCAACCACTTATAGAATCATTAGTTCCGTTATAACTGTGTAGTGTTATTAAACCATAGTTTTCTTACGTGCTATAACCTCTCACTATCAGATATCACAGCTAATAAAATTTAGTATTTAAACAGTCTACTATAACACTCAACTTAGTATCTATTAGCATATAGTAGCATTTAACTCCCAACATCGAATACCAAACTGTTGCTAATATGTTGCGTGTTACACTGGTCACGATTCAATGACTAGTTTGTTATAATTAAACACTGGAAACGCTGTAAACACCAGGGGTTTACAATTACAGAATGGAATAAAAATAGGCTCTCTTACCTTTAGTGCTTCATCGATCATTTTCAAGCGGATAGCAATTTGAATAAATTCTTCATTATCACTGATAAATTTCAGGTAATTTTCAATGATCTGAAAGTATAATTTATCAAAAATAGGACCTTAGAAAGGCGAAACAATCATGTATTAATGATTATATTGTCGAAAACCCATATACTACGATGTATCATAAGCAGTCTGTGAAATCCTTTAGTATTTGTAGACAGGAAGTGGTTCAAAACAAGAGGTACTTGGCCTTGATGATCCAAATTACCAGTTTTTTGTAGAAATAATGAGGTCCATCCAGTCAGGTGTGAGGATGGATGTCCCACCGACGACATTGGTTGGGGTCGCGCTAGATCACGAATTGGTAGAAGTTAGAATTCATCAGCCATTGAATCGGGTCCCAGTGGCTGAATGGTATACGAGCTTACCTTGTAACCGGAAGGTCCTGGGGTTCAAACCCCAGTGGGTGTGTACTGCCGATGATTTCCAAACTAGGATGAAACAGCAGCTGTCCAGTACTCCCTGGTTTTCAATGGTTCTCTAACTGATATCAATCCGTCATCAACTCGTAAACACAAAACTAACCCTTACAAACCAACTTATAGGAAATAATGATAACTAGATGCTGTAATTAAGATTTTCAGTTGAATCAATTATGAAAGTGAGCAGATGCATTACTTTGTCTCGTACTTATGGTGCACATGAAGCCTTACATCTAGCGATGTCGAAACAGTACATCATCGCAATAAGTATTTGGCTATATCAATAACTCTTTTGGTGCAATGTCAGAATTAGTTATTCTGAAACCATGTATAGTCTTAGACTGATTGGATAGTTAGATGAAAGGCTATAGAAATTTTACTTCTTGTACGCGAATGGTTGAATTTATGCGAAATCAGTGTGATTAAGACAGTATTTATTTGGACGTGTTAAGCTGCTGTTAAAGTGACATTTCGGTTAATGTTTTTACACTGAGAGAATCAACAGGATAAAGGTGATGGATGTGAACACTGACTTAACATTCTCACATGTCCCATTCGTCGATGGCAGTAGACTGTCTAAGCAGCAGTTTACCCTAAAACGTTTGTAATATAAATATAACGATAGTAGAATCCATAAGTTTGACTTCTCCTGTGGAGCTAGTTACATTGGGTGTACGATTAGGTATGTTCATTGTCGGACTTCTGAACACCGTCTGGCATTGTTAAGCACAAGACAGACAAGATCTATTCGCAGCTCGGTTTTAGCTTATCTTGTAGACACTGAATGAACGCGGAGTTGATGTTAACGGGGTTTCTAAATTCATCTACCGTATTCGGACTAAGCTCAATTTCCCCCGAGAGTTCGTCTTTTACATATATATGAAGGCGCCGGAATCCACCTTAAGAAGCATACCTATATGCTCAAAAGTTCGTTCAGATGCTTTCCAGACTTTGGCCACCAATCCTTTTAACTATCAATAACTGTCACATAAGTTTTCTCCTTAATCTTATATAATATTCAATTTAGTATTACACTGATATGCTCATTGTCACTTTTGAACTGCAATTCTATCGATCTCAACAATTAGATATTATTTAAAATACATCAATATTGTCAATAACGAATATATATATATATATATATATATATATATATATATATATTTACAAAGGTCTAATCTGCGTTAAAGTGAAGAGCATTATACACATTGTTCAAAACAGCTGGAATAGTTTTATAGACATTTCTCCATTTAATCTACGAGTAAATATGATAATATGCAGACGGATAAGATTATGGGTTCCTATCATATCTCTGTTTAAGTACACTTTAGTTTCTTCTACCCCACTTATGGTTCAAATATGAATGAGTGCATACAACATGTCACATATTCAGTATAAGTATTAAATGTCTCGCCACAGAAATAATAATTTCACCGTTACATGGAACCTAGAGCAGAAGGAGAATTACCAACACATGGTCTCGTACGCTAGAACACCAACCATAGTTAACACATTATCTACTGTGAAACAGACAACTTAAAATCAAAGAAAAGATGAATCGACTACAATCATTGACACGACTGACTATGAAAACTTCATACTGTACTTCGTTGAAGACTTCAATTCTAGGTGTTGTAAAAGGTTGGGGGTGGGGGTCAATCATTTTATCTAAGACAGAAACTTAAAACTTTAAGAGTGCATGAAAAGATTACCAACAGGGTGACTTACGTTGTTCGGTGCACCTAATGAATATAGGTGAAGAACTAAGCGATCACTTGGAAGGATAACTTCCATACGACGCGACAATGATTTCTTAATAGTAACACACATACATATAGAAACTCATTTTACCTTTTTTAATAAAATACATTCCAAATCATTCCAGTTCTGTGACTGCACTAGTGGCTCAATCACTAGCCACTTAAACTGTTCATCTGACATCTGAAACAAGTATTGTAAGGAAATATTACTAAGGTTACTGCTATATATACAGTCTAATTATTCTTACAAAATTAGGCAGTAAAGTTGAGACCTATAATCTAGGATAAATGCCTACGGTATTTAGAAATTACAAGCTGTAACAAAAAGTAACTGTTGCTGCAGGGTGACGATATTTTAGAAAAGTAAACAGCAATACAATAAAACATCTTCAAACTAGTAAACAACAACCTATTTCACGTAAACTTTAAATTGCAAGACTTCCGAATAATGCTTACTGATATCAAAACAGTATGGTATTTTCCTATTTTGCATACCAATTAACTTGTTTATTTTCAAAATACCTATCAAGGATTCATAGTAACTAGAAAAAGATACAAAACTAAGTAGCACTCAGCAGCTGCTCAATATTCACTCGTGAATTCTGTCTAGTGCTGTTCGACTTTTAAAGGTTCTCCTAAGTCGATATCATTTTATGGTGAAAAGCGTTTTTAAAATTCTCCAAACTGATTGGTTTGCTTTATATAGATTTTGTTGAGTTAACTACAAGTGGAAAATTATTAAAAACTAAGCAGCTCCAAAAAGAATTTGGAATTGAGCTAGGGGTTAAATGATACGTTCGTCTCATAACTTAACGACTCCTGAAGAAGTTGTAGTTACAGAGATCGCACTGGTGACCAGTGTTCCCTGGATCCTACTGATTCTCTAGATGGTTTTTTTTATGAGATTTACTTTGCAGTCAGTCAAATATCAATAAACTGAATATCTTAATATTTTGTTTTTACGGGGTTACTTCAAAGACGATAACCGTACTTGGATGACACAGAACATGACGTCTGTTGACACTGTTGAAAAAAACAATAAAACTAACTAGTAGGAGTGCTATATATTCACAGGATGTGCACAGTTTGACGCAGAAAGAAACTCCGTTTATAGGTACTTATACCACACGTTGATTTCATTATACAACCGTAAAAAGAATAAGACAATAACTGTACTATTATTATTTGGCTTATGAAGTAAACTTTCATTCACTTTTTCTTAACAAGCAATTAATGCTGATTGCTGTCACTAACTGGTAACCGGATAATGTACAAGATTAAGCTCTGGCGAGGTTATTGCAGTAAGAAACAATGAAAATTCCCTCATGACTGTGCGCATACCTTCTCCAATGAATGACAAGCAGTATTTTAAACATTTCTTGATTTATTGGAAAAGAACAAGTATACGAATAATTTGCAAAAGCACACTTGATTTTATAGGGAAACATGAATCTTGAATAAAACGATTATCAGCATAGATAACTTTTGAGGCGTCCACACACATTCCAAAGTTATCTACACTGATGTCAAGTCAGTGCTGCTGTATGGTATAGGGAATTGGCACACAAGTCACCAAAAAGCATTTCCAAAAAGTTACTGCAGACTTTCATCAGTGGATTTCTTCGCCCGATATTGAACATCACATGGCTAACCAGAAAGGATAAGCGACAAGTAACTATGGCAACGAACCAACAAAGAGCCTACTACAAATGGGAATGGAGGCGGATTGGACCGCTGACCACTGAGCCCCTCAGCCGAACCTTAATGTTAAGCGATGGATTGGGTGTCCGTGAGTAACATGGAGAAGGGAATTAAACATTGTAGTCAGTCGTTGAGTCAACTGAAAATGGTCGTAGATATCTGACTGGAACGCAGATGTGCTGCTGAAGCCCTATGTTTCACCCAGGACGTGAGGAAGAAATAAGAATAAATAATAATAGTAGCTGTCTACTTAATCAGACTACGGATGCGCCCATGTTCAGTGCTAAAGATAGCCTCTAATTTATGTAACTATGAGTGCAGCCGAGCAGCACATGCTGCTTAATCTTGTGACATTTTCCAAATAATCAAAATATCTATCATAGCCATAACTATTTTCGGCATTATCGATACCATACAGTTTCGGAATCACGAAAATTTACTACAAACCTTCCACCCAATCAAACACAATCCCTAAAAAACCAAAAATATCTATTGCTTCAATATAGCCAAACTATTTAATAATCATAAAACACATACTTTGCACTTTTTCCCAAGAATTTCAGCTCTACTATTTGTTTTAACTGTTTGATCCATTCTAACCAATGCACTAAGCGTTTCACATAATGGTTGCATGATTAAAGTGTTAGGTAGTGTCATAGTCGCTTTTCGAACATTTGCATCTAAAGAAAGTTCATTGTAAGTTAAATTCCATTCTTTTTCCTAAAATAAAAAAAATGTAAAGTTAGATGTGAATGAACAAGTACATAGCTATTTTGATAATCTAAGATCACAGCCAGTTCTGAAGAGATTTCAACAAGATGTTTCATTGATGAATGTGAAGCTACATCAGATCTATAAAAAAAAGAGATTCGACGTCAAATAAAAGAATTTTATGTTACTCTGCGATCTGCATTAAATATTTATTCACTTCATCAACATGACCTGTTGACATATTCATTAGCTTTTGCATCAGTTGATTGTAGCTTGGTATCTATAGAAATAAGGAGTATGTTTATATTACTAGGCAAGCTAATTACTTCACTTTCTCTAATAAATCCAAGAAGTCTGTTAAAATAGAAAAGAAATTAATGAAAAACACCAACGAGATATGCTTAAGTGAACTTACTTCATATATTTTTTTAAATCTGCTAACTGTCCAGTTTTTCTAAGAAAATTAATAAAATGTAAGGCAACCACACGATTTTTTAATAAAATGTGTTGAAAGACACTTTCAGAAAACGAATTTCTAAATTTGTTAATAAGCTGAAAGAAAGACAACAGTTGTATATGTAATAAATATATCTGAGCATGAAAATGATACTTACCTTTATGATTAAATTACCATCAAATGAACGTGTGGCCAAATTGAGGAGAACAACTTTAGATGCTTGTGAAACAAATGTACTCAATGGCCATGTACTCATTCCCTCAACAACAAAATCATCAAGAGCAATTGTAATAGCTTTCAGCCAACATGCCTAGAATAGTGAGAGCTATTTAGGAGATGTTACTACCTCAGAGCAAAAGATGGCATCCTTTTCATAATAAATTTGATTAGTGATCAAATTATGGCATATTGCACAAAACTGACTATTGAGGTCTACATGAAAGAAAGTGGAACATAAACAACAATAATGATAAACCGGATACCTGTTACTACTGGTTCGTCGGAAAATGCCTCAGTGAAACATTCTGCGAGACTTTGACTGTAGGCTAAAAATAGATGAATATAGTACAGTGAATAATATATTTTATATTAGTTTACTTGAAATGTTATCGGATTCTTCCAAGTCAAAATGAAATCCTTTAACAACACTTTCCTCCCATATATCATCAGACATTTGCGTTTAGACGAAACTGCTAATTTCAATGCGGAGTACAAAATTAACAGCCATCTAGAATCAAAAAGTAAAGCAGTGTCACAATGAGTTTTATCTTCTGGATAGCTTTTAAGAAAGGAAAACTTTCTGTAATAAAGGCCACATTATAGCATATATCACAATCTTCTGTTCACATTCATTTATACGTACAGCAATTATTTTGATTAGACACTAGATGGTAACTTATGTAATGTGTCTAGTCCTTCGTTTGGTATAGACTGGATTATATCGGTAGAGTTGGCGATTTTGCCATCATGGCAGGTGGCTCACCATCGCCTTACATTTTGAATTGCTGTTATATGGATGGAGGTAATCGGCAGGAAGCCTTAGACCTATGTTTTGTGCTTTTTGGTACTCGCTAACAAGGCGTATCTGCAATCTTGAAGGAACTTTGTCCGTTCTGAGATCCAAGCCCGGTTCACCGAGTGCTGTAGTCAGAGACGTCAACACAGATTGCGGACACCTTGAGCTGCAATCTGCGAATGTTTGGCATGCGACTCACTCTCGCCAAATTTAAGATGATGCTACAGGACTGGACTACATTGACTCGAAATAGGGAGTGATGTGGTAGAGCGTGTTGATCACTTCACTTGTTTGGGAAGTTGCGTTAGCCCCAACGAGTTGATGGCTGACGAAATCTCAGCACGGATAAAGAAGGCTAGTTTCGCATATGTCAGTTTATGCCGTCTCTGGGGTAGACGTGATATCCGGCCATCGACCAGAAGACGTGTGTACTGCTCAGCAGTCCGCTCCGTCCTCTTTTATGGCTATGAGACCTGGCCATTGAGAGTTGAAGACATGAAAAGGCTAGCTGTCTTTGATCATAGGTGCCTGCGTTCTATCTCCTGTGTTAGGTGGTATAATACGGTGAGCAATATTGAGGTTAAACATCGGTCGAGAGCTAGGTAAGGAGGAGAAATCAACAGACGAGGTTGTGAAGTAACACCAGTTGAGATGGTTAGGACATGTGTTACGCATGTCTAGCCATTGCCTTCCTCGACCGACAGGCAGTGTTAGCTAACATAGGATGGATCAGGTTGGTAAAGAGCCAGTGGTGGTCAAACCAAAACGTGGCATCAGTCAATGAAATCCACAACAGTTAGTGTAAGCCGGTCACGTAGGTAGGTGTAGACTTCCTGGTTGGGGTCCTTGGAGCGGTAAACACCGATGGCTGGAGACAATTGGTGATATGGCTCAAAATCTTTATCAATGACGCAGGTGCAGCCACTCCTTGTGACTTAAAAACCATATTGTTCTTCGATATTACTATTCTTTTTGACTCATATCTCTGTTTACTGTCTCTATTTTGCATTTCTTTTTACTTTCTTCTCTGGCTTTGTGTGCTGAGTGAAGTGTGGCGACTCAACTGCTGCACATCGGTGCAAAGTTCTACGTTGAAACCAGTCGGTTAGATTGCGGACAGGCCCTACTGACGAATACCAACAAGCACAAAACCTAGGTGCACGGCTTCCTGTCGATTACCACTAACTATTTAATAGAACAATAACTTTTTGCTGACACTGTAATTATTGCTTTTGTTTTGTTTTCCTACTATCTACTGTTAACAATGCTTTATTACACCATTGATCAAGATTTCTAACTAGATTAATCATTTGTATGTTACTCATCGTCCGCTTTCATATTTGGTGAGTAAACACATAGTGTATGAGGGTTCTAGACAATATCTCGGTAAACAGAACGAAATTCGGACTTATTCATCGATTGATAGTCCATCCCTTCCACTGAGGATCCACAAGTTCATATAGCTGCCTACGGGTATTTCCAACTGAATAAAAACCTTAGAACTTCATAACTGTTGACCCAGATTGCACCGATTAACTACGTATACTTCTATGTCAAGTTATTCAAAATGTGGTGTGACTATTGGTATCAGCGTTCCACCAGTATCTAGGTAAAATGAATAACGAGATGAACGTTTCATAATCCATCAGATGGTCCTGCCGGACTCAACCAAAACACTCCAGGTAGGCTTACTCAGTAAGAAAATGAATTACTTTTATACAAACAATACCACTACTAAATGTACGTATCTCGAATTGACAGTCAGACTTGCCTTTACAGCTTACTCAGTAATAAATCACTTGAACTGAACACAACTATGTTCAGCTCAACGTAATTCATCATAGTAAGAAGGAAAAATATCAGGAGCGAAGACTATTTTGTAGAAAATGGTAACATGTATTGTGTCCATATTCATAATACTACCTGCTTTAGAATTCTGCACGATGAAAAAGACGCAGTTTTTCATTTGAACTCAACCTAGAGTTGTTAATAAGTTTGGTGAATTTATAAGTTATGCATAATTGAATTTATAATCTCTGCTCACATCTTAGGTAGAGGCAAGTGAAATTATTATTATTTTTTGGAACACATTTTCTTTCACCATCAAAAAAGCCTACATATATCCATGTCTGAAAGTGCAATGTATCAGTCTTCAAAGGATTACGTAAATATATCACTTGTAAACCATTGGGGATACAATACAAGTAACTCAAGTTGAAATCACGGTCGGAGGTACTTAGCGAAAGAAATTATTACAAACATGTTCAAAATTTGCTCAAATTTACAGTTAGCTATTTTCACAACTGCTAGAACCAGTTTAGTGTACTATGCAACCATCAAGAGCTAATACCGCAGTAACTCAGCTAACCTGTATTAGGCTACAAGATAGACTTTGTATTATCTACTGACATTAACTGTTACACTAGGCATAAGCAAACGTAGTTTGACTTGAGATGAACTTCTTGGCATGCGTTTCGCATCAAATTTGTCAAATGAATATTGATTTACAATCTATGGACATTACCAACTTGTGGACGAATAAACTAACCCTCAGTTAGTGCCAACACATTTTATATACAAATGAGAAGTTTACGGAGTTGCGAACATAAATGTCACAGAAAGACTGAGGCGTCACAGCTGACTGATCTAGACAGTGGTAACTACCGCGGTAGTTACTCGGTAATTACTTAAAAATAACTATTCATTTAAAGATGCTGTAATGGAACTTATCAATTTGTCTACAAAAATGCTGAACATTGTTACAATTAACCACAAATCTCGACTGCAAACCAACCTTCCAGCTACGACAACTTCACACTGGAGTTTCCGATCGAGAATGAAGACCACTTAGAAATGCTGGAAGCATCTTTAAGAGACGAAAAGTAAACTGAATGAATTGCGCCGGCGTAGGACACAGGTGATGATAATAAGTAGCAGTCTTTTCGTTCTGAAGTAATGCTAGTCAGTGCTTAATATCTCCTGTAGGGGCTGGAACAACGCTGATAAGCAAGCCCAGTATGTTCTGATCTACTCCTAAAAATACCGAGAAAAAGAACACGGTGCTGAATTAGTTCTAGTCATGCTGAAAACCAGCACTGAGTTCTAGTCTGTGCCATTAAATAAACCATTCAAGAACAGATTCAGAATTTACTCACTATAAGGATGCTAGAATTATTTCAGAATTAATGAGATTTAATTCAGCATTATTGTAAGCTTGGGCGGCTGGCAAGATTCAGTCACAAAATACAGTAAAAACTGTCCGTAATTTCATAGTCTTATGGATTTTACCAGCCATGTAATAATTAGTGAGTTAGCAAACGATTCAAGATATTAGTTGCAATTGTAACTATAATTACAATTAACTGTAATCAATGAAGTATCATATCAGTAGGTGAATAAATCCTCTAAGGAAGAATTAAAGTCAGCTTTAAAACATGTTAAGAATGAACGTCAAAATTAGAGCAAATATGAACACGGATGGGTAGAAAACAAAATTTTACACGTTGAGATAAAATCCCGCCAAGGACGTTGGAAACCAATGAGATTTCAGTGGTCCACAAGGTCACTGCAGATAATTAGGCTATAGATATCACACCAACTAAAAGAACCGTACGTGCCTAGCTGATGACTCAGCCTAAAAATTTGACAACAACGTGAGATGATGAAGTTCGTGGACAGATATCAACTGCCAGGCAATAGTCTGCTAGAATTTCTGAACAACCAGAATTCGACGAGTGGCTTTATTGCATGTCTCACTAAGTGTAGTGTTGTATCCAGTCGCTGTGGCGGTTTAATAACGAGTTACATATTCTGTTTGCCTTTTAAAATGAGATTTTGCACCCAGAAAATCTTTTCTAGCTTACATGTTATCATTGGCGTTACATTCTTTAAATGAGTTACATCTGCTGCACTTTTATCAGAAAATCTCACTTGGTACTGATATCTTCTCTAAGTAGTGAAATAAATGGAAGCAGTGAGTCCAAAAGTCTAACCTATATTGTTCAGTCTTCGTGATGTCATGCTGGAACATCTTAGCCTAATAGCTGAAACGCCCTAATACCCACTGGATAAAGGTGGAGACATTTTATAAGAGAGATATGCTATATAGTCGCCCGTCAGATCACTTGCTGGCAGCCGGTCTTGCAGGCCGAAATTTCTCGATTTCTTTGAGACCCTCTGCTGCTGCAATCCGGCTATCAAAGATCAGTCCATTCGAACGCAGAAATCAACGAAATTGAGGCCCTGGTCTTTCAGTCTGCTGTCATTGTCAACGTTCAGGCAAAAGAGCATGGTGATTGATGGCGACATACCCTCTCAGGCAAATGAACCCTATTTTCGTAATATCCTTCCATGTTTGTGCGCTGTTACTCCTATTATTGTGGTGGGCACTATTAGTGGACAGAAGACTGCAGTCCTGGTTAATACGGATGCATCATTGTCAGTGATAAACTCATTTTACATCGACTACCTCTCCAAACTTCCCGTATGTGGGTCTTGTTATTCCTTTTTGACTGTAATGATTGGGGTGTAGACATAAGCTCATGCCACAGCCATACTCGAGATAAAGTAAACGGGCTTCCCACTAGATTTCAACTTTAAGTTTGTCCATAATTCTCCTGAGATTCCATCATGGGCCACCACGTCTTTATAAATACTGTCAGACTTTACATGGAGGTAAATTTTGCAATCGTACCCGTTTATGTCCTGCAGTCGACCTTAGTCATTGTTGAGCCCTGCCACATCGCAAATACTGGATCGAATCGGCGTATAATCTTCCTTGATGGATATTAATTGATTCAGTATTATTTTCTTTTGTTCAAGAATTCCAGCACAGTTTTGATAATGGTCACAGTTCAGGAAGCGTCGTCAACACTTAGTGCATCGTCTAGCTCCACGAGTTACCTCTCAGAGTCTCACTCCGGTAATAGTCCCAGATAAATGTGACATTCGGTGTGATGATAGGGAAGAGGACTTTCATGCCTTCTTCCTCTCCGTGGACATCAAATATCATCTTAGGAGATGGCCATATTTCACTATGTATTGACTGCCACCAGTAAACGCCACCACTGAAGATGACTCTTTTCCGTCTCATCTAATAGACATCTTCCCAAAAGCTTCATGGGGATCTGCGTAGTCGGCGGGAAATCGCTAAAAGAAAGCTTTGGTTTTGCCAGCTGGGTTTTACGAATGTGAAACCATGTCCTTAAGGCCATCAAACGTCCGTCTTCGTTTCAAAGGCTGATGCTGCACGTTTATAAAGGCTGGGGTCGTATCTGCCAGGATGATATAATTGTGTCCAGTAAATACACACATAGCGCAGAAAGTTCAGAGCTTAGGCTAAGTTTTAGCACGATTCGTCATATATAATCCTTGTTGTAAACCTCACAAAAGTGTTTTTCTGTCTTTATACTTGTAACCATAATCTCTTACGCATAACTATTATGATAAATCGAAGAAAAAGGATACAAAATCAATCTCCAGTTAATGTGATAACTTGGTGAACAACTCCACTCGCCACGACAAGCAGCAGTCCACCCACAAGCAGTAGTAATGAGTCACTTAGCTCGTCAGTACGCCATCAGTGCCGATCTGCCATGTCAGTACTATTTAAGGCGGCTAGAAATGAGAATAAACCCATGCTGATTACCAGAGGTACCCTCTCACCACTCAGGTTTTCGTTCTTTTATACTACACCAAACGTGCTCTGAAAACACAAAACCAACCCAAGAGTTATGGAAAATTACCAGATATCCCATATAACTCTTCCACATAAAACTGTGGGTCTAGACGTGTCTAGATGCAACCCTAAGACGAACAGCGATGCCCAGTTAAAGTCCACATTGTCTTTATCTTGCCCTAATGCAATAGTCAAAGAGAAATTCAGTGATAGATTATGCCGCACTAGATTGACAAAATCAACCTGAAAGGAGTTTACAATGTAAGGGGACAAAGACGCAGTGTTATGCTAATGACGTCATCACCCAGGATACTCACAGTATAGTGTGGGGACGCGCTTCGGTAGGCTGTACGGTACAAATCTGCTGGGATTTAATCCACATTTCAGCAACACACAATGAAACTCACAGCAGGAGACAACCAGTGCTATTAAAGCAATAGCAGGAATGAAAAACCATGGCCATCATGAAGTTCCGAAAGGTTTTTATCCGTCACATCTCCATCAGAGTTAAACAAACGGCTGGATTTTAACCCTTCTCAAACCCAACCACGTATTATGGTTCCCTCTTGGGAAGTATTCAGACACAGTCGTAGGCATGTATAGCTATTAAATACTTCTGATGATCCTAAAAGCATTAACCGGATGTGAAATTTCCAAGGAATTCTCCAATCTAGCTAGGAGTGAAACTACTTTACTCCATAGCGAATCCAGTGCTGAAACTTCTCATCATTCACTTTAAGAACTAGATAGCAGCATGATAGACATAGGTGAACAGGGTATAGGTAATTTTTAAAGCATAAGGTCATCATGCCACTCACGATGGTCAAAGACTGAATCATACTTGAGATTGACCAACGCGACAAATACTGCAAAGATTATTTCATCTCCCAAATTTACCTAGCTTTACAAGTGCTTGATCTATCTCAAGTAACGCACTGATGGTAATGGCACACACACTCACGTATAAATCCACCATAATTATTACTGAGCTTGGTAATACCCTAATATGCCTGATGAAGAGACAACCATCGATAAGTATAGTCACTTTCGGTGTGGCAGGAACAGTGGTAAGGGAGGAGGCTGTGTACTTTTAAAACACACTGTAATTCAACTTGAAAATAGGGAACTCAACAACGTTTATGACACCCTCTGTGTCAATACATCTTTTGAGAAGTTTGACTGGATGCATTTACAGAGAAACCAGCAACTCTGGTGACCACGAGACCCAACTTATCAATGCGCTGGTTCAAGTAACTATTATTCTATAAGAGTACAAAATTCTGCGTGGAGACTTCAACCTGTATGAAACCAGATGGGACTCACTTACTGGCCCAGGCAAATCTGTCAACTTTATGAGATTGGATACAACTGGTTAGAAAAAGTGCATGCATAACCCCCATTCAGCCAATAATTAAAACAAAACAAAGTATAGCGGAACATCTAAACTGACTGGGTTATCAGCTACGAACACAGCACACTGGACGGAATCACTATCGTTAATTCTCTTAGGCAGACAAAATGCCTTGAAAACTTCTGCCAGTATTTGAGACCTGTTGTCAAGGAATGATCTAACCCATCCTAATAGTGGAAAATGTATTCCTAAGGAGTTCAGCTCATGTATTAGCAGTAAATGATCGACACAGCCAAATGCCTTAGAAATGTCAAAGTAGATGACAAGCACTAGTTGTCGTTTGTCACGACTGCTGGTCACAAAATTAAAGAAATCTAGGTGGCATGTTAAACATGATCTGGATTTTAGGAATCCATGTTGGTTCGGACTTAAAATATTGCAGCTAAGCATATGTGTTAGTATGTTATCTTTAACTAATCTCCCCATAATTCAAGGTACTATAGGTGTGATGTTGATCGGTACGTAGTTTTGGACTATTGTTTTCGAGCAGCATTTGTGCTTAGGTATAATAAATATCGCTTACTATATATTCGGGTAAGTTTGGGTTTCTAGGACATTGTAAAGATTTTAAGCGGTACTAAGGGAATGTCAGGACCATCATATTTATAGAAATACGATGATATGTTGTCAGTGCCAAAACTTTCAGAGCTTTTGAGAGGTCTAATAGTTTGACGAATGTTATTATATCTTTTTACGAGTTGATAACGGACTGATATCAGTTAGAGAACCATTGAAAACCAGGGAGTACTGGACAGCTGCTGTTTCATCCTAGTTTGGGAATCATCGGCAGTATGGTTCTCTAACTGATATCAATCCGTGATCAACTCGTAAAACATAACTAACCCTTACAAACCAAACTATAGAGAATGTTATTATAAGTGAATCCAACAGTACTAATTTGTTTTGATGTAGGTAAAGACGAGGGCTGTGTCGTATTAGTAGTAGGGTGTTAATTCATGTTAATTTATGCGTGAAGAGTGTCACCAAGACTTATATTTAGGCAATCGTTGTTTAGTTCCGTGATCTTACCATTAGTCAGTAAAGACATGTGAATAGATCTGTGTGGATTAGCTTGAATGGATGCATAATATACTGAGGATGGTCACACCCGTGTATCATCATTTTCATTCGTACAAATATATGTCGCTACGACGTCAACTAGTGAATGCATTGATCTGGAAAGTCCTCAACCAAATTTATTATTATTCCCTCGTGTTCCCAGAGTAACTTGTCACTGATTCTTTCTCGCCATCTTATCTGCAGTCTGTGGCGAAGGCAGTTACCGATAAAAGTGTGAAACCTGTCGGAAATCTTTCCGTGATATACCAAGTCTCTGAAACCTATAGAGAAGCACCGACTAACTCGACACTAGCCTTGAAAATCTAAATCTTGTCCTTCGTGATGAGCGCAATGGATTTCCAGACTGATTTCACACCAATAAATGTCTGTCTTGATTGCCGATCCTGCCACTAA